AGGAGAGGGGGGTGGGGGGCAGAGTTGGGGGCGACCCGGCCGGGCCTTCACGGGGGACGTTGTTACCAAAAATCGTCCCCAAGGAAACTCCCTCAAACCAGGGACCGTTTAGAAATGTGACATTAGTTTGTTACAGCACTGGGCTCGTGGGGGATTTCTCCTGACACCCAACCGAGGGACAAAGGCACTCATTGTGTAAGGGAAAAGAAATGAAGATTCATGTCAATCCTGAGACATACCCACCTGTTCCCAGGAAATCCAGTGCACCTGCACAATCATACTAAGATAGGATGGGTCTTGGTGGTCTCTGCGGGTCGTTAAGAGCTAAAAACCCTAATTCAGTTTACCCATCCCTTGTACCTCCTGGGTTGGATCACCCTTTGGCATGTAGCCTCACTCACCTCCACAGTTCATACAATGGGGCCTGTTACGGTTTGATTTGCTCCTTGACACTTGTCTGTTACACAGACTGCCTTACCTTCAAAGTTTAGAGAAAGTTTATACAATTATACACAGGGGCTGCTTGTTTGTATGCTAAGTACATTGTCTAAGTATTTGGTGTCGATTCCCCCTTTGGAAATTGTTAGATTTTCTTACTACTTCCATATATTTTTCTCAATGATTCTTTTAGCACAACCGAGCAGATTCCTACAACGACTATATCACCACATAAATTATTGCTTCCAGCAATGTGGCTGACCATCCTTTTAGAGACCATCCACCTAATCCTTGGAGGATTGTGTTGAGCCAATTATTTTCCGCTGCCTCTCTGCTCTGCTATCTTCTGCTACTTTTCTCATTCTAATTGTTCTTGAAGGTTATCAGTGATGTTGGGATGGGAATGCATACAGCAGTGTTCCTTGTCTAGTTTAAGATACCCAGACCTTCCTTATTCTTGAAGTCATAACAAGTGTAAGGCTAGCCCATTTTATAAAGTCATTTTAGTATTAGCTCAGGCCTGTTTATTAAGAATTTGGAACCCCTTTTGAGTGGCTCTTGACAGAAGTTTCTACTTGCCAAGTCAAATTTCTCTTTGTCTCAATAATAGAAAATGTTAGCCTATTTAAAGGCTGCTGTGATGTTATCTCATTCCCCTAACAAAGGTGAATTCATTGGTATAATACCCCATGGGATGGTCTGACCTGCTGAATGAGGAATTGGGGTATATGCTTTAAAACTGATAAGATTACACATTCTACCAAACACTTGTATTACAGTTAGAATCAAGTTTCCATCTAAGTCTGCGTTGGCCCCTCTGTCTGTATCACCTTCTGCACCTCCTGAGATCACCACAAGAGATAAAACCAAGAACTTCATGATTCCTGGATTAATTTTAAGCGTAAAGGTCCTTCTTGTTTGACAATTTATTCTGGTGCCTGGCTTGATCCTGCTCTGACGTACCCATGGAATGACTCCTTTGAGCTTAACAGTTCAATAGGTGGTGAGTAAAAGGTCCTTTCCGTTTCTCTTTCAACAGCTCATCTGACCAGTCCTCAGATACACCCAGTCTTCAGGTTGGTCTGGATGCACAGGCACGACCAGGGATAGCAGTGAGCTGCCAGTGACATACCCATGGAGAGAGAACAGAAACTTTCCTGGAGAGATAACATACCCTTTCAGGTAATATTTCCCTAGGATTTCAGGATTAACTACCGTTTCCATCACCTGATAAGGTTTACCGTGTATGATTTCAAATGGATCAACTTTATTTCTAGGCTGGATGCGTATTCATAGCAAAGCTAAGGGCAAAGCACCTGGCCACTTTATCTGAGCCTCTTGGCAAATTTTATTTATTTGTCTTTTTAGGCATTGAGTTGTTCTTTCTACTTTTCCTTTCTACTGGAGATTGAGGGCTCCATGGGGTATGGGGATCCTATTTTACCACTAATGCTTTAACAAAACTTTGAACATCTTTTACTATAAAGTGTGGATGCCTATCCGAAGATAGTCCTCCAGGTACCCCATATCTTGGTATTATTGCCTTAAGTAACACTGTTGATAGTCCTTTTGCCTTGTTGGTGGGACAGCCTGAAAATATATCTATCGTTACTAAGGATACTGGTATCCATTTTGCTGCAGTAATTTGGAGATGCCTGTTTGACAATGGTCTAGACAGATTAATTGCTTGTAATAATTGTTGAATTATGGCCTGTATTTGACTGGGGATCCCTGAGATGTTAAGAGTCCTGTTTCTTTCCAAATAGCCCCAAAGGCAAACTTTGAATCTGTCCGTAGATTGTTTTGTCCTTTGACAGCTCCAATGCTCTCAGCAAAGCTATGAGTTCTGCTTTCTGGGCCGAAGTGTTAGATGGCAGAGCCTTGGCCTCCATTTCTTCTGCAATGTTTACCACTGCTATCCTGCTTTCTGTGTTCTATCCCACATAAAGCTGTTACCATTTTTAAACAGGTCCCACTCTGCATTTTCCATTGGCATGTCTTTCAAGTCTGCTCTGCTGACGTATATCTGCTCCATTGTTTGCAAAGAGTTGTGAGTTAATTCTCCACCCAGATGTCGCAGATGTGACTTGTGGAAACACGACTCCACAACCTCTAAGGTTATAAAGTCGGTGTGTTTATTCAGCGCTGAGGCACACGGGGGATCATTCCACCACAAACGTGCGTGCTCTTGTGGCACCCTGTCTTGGCTTTATGCTAGAAAGCATTACATATTCATCATATACATATGCATAACCTATCTCTGCTTCATATTATAATGAGCTTGAAAGTCTTTGTTGTATGTTCCGCTCTGGTCTCCTCCTAGTTGTATCTGCTCAGTGTGTCCCAGTGGTCATGGTCTGGGGTTGCAGATATGAAGTAGCTTCTCTTCCTCACTGTTGAACTTTTTACCTCAGTTTCTTGTGCAGTCTCTGTAGCCTCCTGGACTCAGGCCAGACCATAGGGTTGGTTTTGACCTGACAACCCCATAGGGCTGTCTTCCTATTCTATCAGGAAGTGTTCTCTCACAGCTTCTATTAATCAAGGTTTCCATATTGTCCTGCTCTCTGGCCCATCAACTATGATCTATTATCCTATTTTAATCTTAGTTATCTTTTAACTAATAGGCCTCTAGTCCCTAGCCTGATCTCTGTCTTCCATCTTTATCTCTAAACTGTTATACCTTCATTTCTTGAGTGCCTAATTTCTATATCCTATTTTAATTTCCTGGCTCCTCATTTCAATTCTCCCCTTTTCTAAAACATTAGTAAATTCTTTTACTACCTTTAATAAATTGACTCCTGATCTAACATTTTAGAAAAGTACTTGATTGATTCCAGCCTATGTCTAAGATGATTTTTTCCATGTGACATAAGCATCTGTGAGAGACAAGAAACCAGGCCTGTGAGAAACTAAGAAAAACAACCTGGGAAAGCAAAAGTGGAGGCTGATTGAAGAAGTGCCTCAAACACTCGCAAGACAAAACGGTGAGTCCCAGGGTGCATTCTGTGGTAACGCTGCCCAATGTAGCTGGGGGAGAGAGGACAGCTCTCCTCTGGGGCACCTGGGCAAATTTCAAGGGCCATGTGTCCGGTGAATGAACTTTCACAGAATCACAGAATCATCTAGGTCGGAAAGGACCCTGGAGATCATCTAGTCCAACTGTCATTATCCACGAAATGCATATTAAAGATAACACCCCTCAATATGCTAACGAGGGCTGACATGATCATGCTAATTACATCATCCCATGAAACACCTTACCCCTTCCTGTAAATGGGATAGGTAGCTATGTGGGTTGACCTAGGGGACAGACCCAAGGAAAGTGGGTATAAATCAAAGGGGGAAAGAAAGAGCTCTCTCTCTGCCCCTCTCCCCCCCCACTCCGCCCCCCGGCTGTCTGGAGAGAGCAGTGAAGCAAAGAAGACTGATGCCAGAGAAAGACGGCCGCCTCCTGGAACCCTCGCCGGCAGGATCAGCGCAGGAACCCAGACCAGTGATCTGTATTCCCCCATTCCCTCTGTCTCCCTCTTTTCCTTTTTCCATTAAGAAATGCAAGGAATATTATATTGCTCGCCACAACTTGCTATATACTTAGCCAATTATCGTGTGTTCAATTAGTACATTGTAGGTAGTTAATAAATGCTTGAACTTGGAGACTTGTTGTCCACTCCAATTTTTGCGAATCTGAGTCACTTGTCCCCCTCATCTGAGTGGGATGTGACAGCATCTCCAGTGTTCTGGCAGCACCAAAAGAAACATTTGATTACAATACAAGTTAATACTCCTAAAATCAGCAGTGTCACTACCAAAACAAAAAGCTGTTTTAACCACGCTATATGAGGTAGCCATAAAGTCAATTTTTTCCAAAAATTTGTGAAACCCAAGTGTGATAAGTAATCAAGGGTAATTTGCAGATCAAATGGTTTTTTTTTAACAAAAGGAATGATCTTGCTGCAACAGATCTGAGAACATCCTGTCTGGCAAGAAAAAAAGACTTAACCATGAAGTTGCAAGATGTACTGTCTCAAGGCAACTGTTAAACTACAATCTTATGTTACCATGACAACTTTTGAACTTTTGTCTTTGTTTAGACCTTAGTGTAAAAAGAGATCAGTTTTGTAATTTACAACTTCATAGCTTCCTGTTAACAAATGTACAAACCACATTGCCACGTGACTGAAAGCCTAACTGCTCAAACCAACCTTGAAGCTAGCCAACCTTAAAGAAGTTATGATAACAAAAGAAGCCAAGGGCGTGCAGAACAAACCGACCTCCGTGAGGATAAAAAGGCTGTGTCACTTGTCAGAATTTGTGAGCCTTGGGTAGAGCTGCGACTCCCTGGCCGCCCAGAGCACTGTTTTGCTTTCCTACCTTAATAAATACTTAGTGAATTTATTTCAGACTCTAGTTATTTCAATTCAACTATGACACCAGGACGTATCATCTTGTGCTATTAAATGAAATAGTTTTGAAGCTTCCCAAATCCTATGCACATCTGTCTCAATTTGGGCCTCATGATTTACAAAGGCACAGCCGCTTTGATTAATCACTGTACAGACCCCTCCTTTATCCATCAATAGATCCAAAGCCATGCAATTTTTTTATGGTTATTTTTGCCAATGAACTGATCTCTTTCTGTAGATTGACAATGGCATCTGCAGTAGCCTTAGCCAGAATTTTGATGGTGGCAGAAATATTTACTATAGCTTTTTCTAATTTACTCACTCCTAACATAGGAATAAGCCATCTGACAAAACTATGAAATCCGGTTCCTCTAATTACCAGGGGGTTCTTAACCTCTCTTTTTGGTTAACCTGACACCACAGGGTCCGTGAAACAGCTTGCAAATAGTGGGGTATGAGACAGGCAATAATATACCTGTTGTACATTCTCCCCACCAATTTTGAGGTAAACATTTCCTGGCCTTTCTGTTTGCAGGTAAGTATCACCAACCTGGCGGTAAACGGCACCTTTTCTCGCTGGGACCATGCTTCCACTCAGCGGTATCAGGGCATTTGCCAGGGAATTTCCCCATCCCGTGTAACTGGTTTTCCTTATTGACCCTCTGGGGTAAGTATTGTTGCAGGTTTGATAAGCGCCTTTCTTTGTGCTTAGGAACTGGACCGGATTACTTCCTCTGTTTTGCATCATTATTGGCTGTCTGAATGGCCATGTGCTATTCTCCATTTCTGCTCGATGGCTTTGGATTCATTATACAAGGCATCATTTTGGTTA